TTGGAAACTCAAATGGGAATCGCTACTTGGAGTTCAACGCCTGCAACCCAGTTACTTGCACTCCAGCAACAGCAGCGGAACAAGAAGGAAAATGACCCTAGTGGTTTTTGGAGGTGCTTGGAAGGGCCAAAAAGAAACCTGCACCAACAGGAATAGTCTCATTCACTTAGAATAGTTTGTTCAGTTTGGCAGTCTTTGTTGCCATTAGTAACACAGGCAAGAAATTATATTTGTTTTTGTATGTGATCATCAAGCGTCCATGTGAGGTACAGAGGTCCAGCCTGAGTGCAAAAGCGGAGAACTTCCTAAGATGTCTTAGCAGGATTCAGCCCCGCACAGTGTTTCTGACAACCCCTTTAAAGTGAATGGCTGGGGGAGGAGGGGAGTGGTAATCAAGATGATCCTCTCACAGGACTCACTATGGATCTCAAATGCAGCCAGAGAGAAATCTAAAAACATACAAAATAAACCTTTTTTTTTCCCCCCAGGTATCACGTTACTCCTCACGTAGAGGTCTGAAGTTATAGCAGCAACAAGGAACACTTAAGCCTGTAACCAAATTCAGCCATCAAGAAGCCAGACCATGTCTACCACACACTTCTGCGGAAGCTGTTACGATGCATTGGATTTGGCCTTTGGCTTGTATGGCAGTCCTAATCTCAGTTTGGGTTTCCCTCTTTGCTACACCGAAACCCCTGGCTGTTGCTGTGCTGAGCCAGGCTTTGCCTACATATATTTGCTTAAGCTGATTTAAAGACACAGTAACACTATAAGTAATTATAGATACTCAGCATGATGCGCTGAAAAGAGAGGAAAAGAAAAAAAAAATCATCTCCGTTTAAAATAGCAAAGTTTGCTGCACATTCGGTAGTCTTTTAATAATAAGTCTTAGCTGCTGGACAAGTTGTATCGCTAGTCCCTCAGTCATTCAGGAAAATCAGATAGAAAAGGCTGTGCCCATGAAAGCCCCTTAGAGCAAATCTGTAAGGAATAATAAAAAAAAGGGATGCAACTAAGGGCAGACCTGTCTAAAAATTTTCATGTCTGAAAAGCCTCATATCATGCAAAGTACTACGACTGGAATGCAGGTTGCCATTCCCTAGGAGACAAGAGGTATACCAGAACACAGAGGTCCCAGCTGCAGTTTCCTTCTGAGGGCCAGACTACACGAGATGCAGCTTTCTCAGCTGTTCCCAGAAGTGTATCTTCAGAATCAGGCAGCAAAACCATTGCCACTAGATCTGTACAGGCACCATGCAGTCCTTAGCCCTGTACTGGCACCAGGACCCGTTAGATCTAGACGCTGGTGACAGTGACGAAAACGCAGGGCAGAGAAGAAAAAGCTAATGCAGACACGGCAAAAAAACCTCAAAGCTGCAAAGGAAGCTGGACGCGTAAGCCTTTTGCTCCTGCCGATCCCTGTTCAGTTTGGCGGTATCCAGCAAGAACAATGGTCCTCAGAAGCAGATTCTCTGGAAAGAGGAGAAACTTACTTCATCTTGATTTTAACCTACGAAACCTTCTTGAGGTGCTTTTCTAAACTGGTTCCAGCCACAATCAAATCGAGGTGAGGTACGGAAACAGCTCACGGAGGAACCTGCAATAAACCTGCCAAGCACTGACACTAAGTCGAAGGACGCTTTAGGTTTCCCCCCCAGCGAGGCCAGCGGCGGCAGAAAGCGCCTCGTCTCTGGTCTTGCTGCTGCCTATATTCACCTAGGACGCAAGGAGCGAGGGGGACCTGGCCCGGACCCTCGCAGCACCCCACGGCGGCCTCTGGCCGAAGCAGAGCGCGGGCGGTGCCGGCCCAGGGGCAAAGCCACCCGCACGCCCCAGGGCCACCGTGCCTCCAGCTTCCTCCGCGGCC